TGTTGGGAAGTACAATCGCCCAACGAGCCTGATCCGGCGGATTCAACCCATCCTTCAGCCCCTTCGCAATTCTCCCGGCGCGGTCGCGAAGTTCTCCAAGCGTAATGCTACGATTCGTCAGGCTATCCGAAGCGATGATGTGAGATTCCGGTATTGATGTAGCCGTAGTATGAAGCAGCTCCGTGAGGTTCAAGTCGCGTGGTGTATCGATAGACTGTGAAGTGTACGTCCTCATGTTCGCGGTGGTCGGTGCATCACTTTGAGTTCAGTCACAGTCGGGATCGTCGGATGAACGAGTTCGACATTGAGTAGCCTGCTGAATAACGAAGAGAGAGCGTGACTGAGAACTCGTTTTGTCTCTTCCGCAAATCTGTCGGTACGATGCGGCATGGGTTCAACGAGAAGCAGGCATTTCCAACCGCCGTCCGAACGTCGCCTGCTGAGTCGCCGTGCATCCAGCCGTCTGGTTGTCATCACCCGCGGCTCTTCTGTCAATGCGGACTCTCCTCTTCGAGAGGGAGGGGAGGGGAACGGACAGGGAACGTCTTGGCGGCAAAACGAAGCGGCAGAACGGTCGAGAATGTGTCACGGCGCCCAAGACATGCCACTACCAGCAGGAGGGGAAGCATTCGGCGTGCGGGGAGCGAAGATTCTCCGCCTGAAACCACTGAATCATTAGTTTTAGTCGCATCGGGGAGCTTCCGCAGGCGAGGCATTGGATAAGAAGTTCCGGCGGTCATCCTTGTGTGTGTTTCGTTCCTTGCCGAAGGTGTAAATGTCAAGGCGGGCAGCTCGAGCGACGGCGGCGGCGTCGGCGGCAACCTCGGCACCTGCTGGCTCGGCTTTGGTGGGCGAACAGTCTGGTGATGGCCTCGTTCTCGTAAACGATCATCGTGTTTGAAATGGCGCTCTCCACGGGCTGTTTCGCCGAGCGGAGCAGCGAGCAGCATCGTCCACACTTACCGTCTTCCTCACTGTTCACAATGGCACCCCGACGTCCCATCCGCATCGGCAACTGCTCGGGCGCCATCAACGACGGCATCGACCAGATCTATCGTCTCGCGAAGTACGGCAACGTCGACGCAATCACAGCCGACTACCTCGCCGAGTTCAACATCGCTTGGAAAGCCATCGAGCTGCAGACGCGTCCGGAGCTGGGCTTCGAGCCGAACTTCCTTGAACAGCTTGCCTGGCACGGCGGCGACGCGGCACGCCTGGTGGCCGAGAAGCGCATCAAGATCGTTCACGATGGAGGGGCGCTGAATCCTCGGGGGCTGGCCGAGCGGACAGACGCGTACTTCAGGAGTCTTGGCATCGGTGATGTCAAGGTGGCCTGGGTCGGCGGCGATAACGTGACGGAGGGGGTCAAACGTGGCGTGTTCGGGCGAGTCATGCATCTCGACCAGCCCGGCGTTGAGTTTGATCCGCGGGCTGAAGGTGCCGGCGGCGAGGAAGCGCTGTTGGCTGCCAATGCGTACACCGGGTACGCGGGCATCGTGAGGGCGCTGGAGGCCGGAGCGGACATCGTCGTGTGCGGCCGGTGTACGGATGCGAGTCCGGTGATGGGACTCGCGAGGTGGTGGCACGGGTGGAAGGGGACGGCGTACGACGCGCTCGCGGCGAGCCTCATGGCCGGACACCTGATCGAGTGTGGCCCGTATGTGACGGGCGGCAACTACTGCGGTCAGCGTGAGGTTCCGAACCTCCACCACGCTGGCTTCCCGATTGCGGAGATCGCGGCGGACGGCGGGGTGGTCATCACGAAGCCGGAGGGGTCTAACGGGCTTGTGTCCGTTGATACATGCAAAGCGCAGCTGTTGTATGAGATCCAGGGGCCATTCTACCTGAACCCGGATGTCATCGCCGACATTGAGGGTGCGAAATTCAGTCAAATATCGAAGGGGCGCATTCGGCTGTCCGGAATCAAGGGACTGCCACCACCCCCTACAGCGAAGCTGGCCATCTGTCTGCTGGGTGGTTACCAGGCGGAGATCTCTGCTTACGCGGCTGGCCTGGATACCGACTTCAAATTCGAAGTGCTGAAGAGCCAAGTCATGGGACAGATCAACCGGTCAGACTTTACGACCTTCAGCATCGAGAAGTACGGTTCGGCAGCAACAGATCCGCGGTCACAAAGAGCAGCGACCGTGCAGTTCCGTATGTTCGCCCAGTCTCATAGAAAGCAGGCTTTCGAGCAATTTAAACGCGCCGTGTTCTACAACGGCTTACAGGGCTACTGTGGGCTGCATCTGGGGATGGACTGGCGGACGATGGAGCCCCGGCCGTTCGTGCGGTACTTCCCCGCGTTGATACCACAGTCCAAGATCCCCTTGTCCGTCAGTTTTGTCAAGGGCCCGGAGAACATCACGGTTGAAGCAAGACAGGAGACAGACTGTGGGTCAATACCTCGTCAACATGATTACGATCCTCCAACACCATTGGCAAAGGTCTCCTCATCACAGACGTCCAAAAGGCCGCTGGGAGATTTGGTCCTCGCCCGTAGCGGGGACAAGGGCGGCAACGCGAACATTGGGTTCTGGGTACGGCACAAGTCGGCCTGGCCATGGCTTCAGGCCTTTTTGACAAAACCCAAGTTCATCGAGCTTCTTGGCGATGACTGGCAGGGCAAATACGTTGTGGAAAGGTGTGAGTTTCCAGGGCTCTGGGCGGTGCATTTTGTAGTCAAAGGGATACTTCAGGACGGTGTTAGTAGCAGCAGTGTCCTGGATGGGTTTGCAAAGAGTGTAGGCGAGTTCCTCAGGGCGAGAGTGGTCGATTTACCCCTGGATCTGGTCAATCTTGAAGACTGGCGGCGGAGATCAGCAGAGAACATGGCTGAGCATGCCAGATTATGATGCCTTATCTGCCGAGGTGTATTCAATACAACCCCAGATGGTTCCGAAGACCATGACATGATTCAATGCCACACTTCCGATGATGACCGAACGTTGTTTACTCTTCGTCACGTCTTGGACCGAGGACGAACAAGCAGCTCAGCTGCGGGGAACCTCGGCCAACAAACCCGGGGAATACAGGCAAGCCGGCCACTGAAGCGCACTGCCGACAGGGAATCATCTGCAGCCGACCGTCATATTTAGCGGCCTGCTGCCCCTGTAGCCGTATCCCGCCGATATCATCCGCGTTTTCAGTTCCACCTCGTCATAATACATCCCGAACTTACACGCACCCGAGCCAGATATAACCCCGTGAGAGATGGCCTCTAGTGATGTGCCCGTCAAGAATGCTTCAGGCCGTTATGACAACGCAGACTTTCGGAAAGCAGCAGGTTATCAACATCCACCCATCAAGTGCAGCTATAACCGCCGCGATGTTCTCCTCTTTGTGAGTCGCGATCCATCAAATCTTAGACGCCCGAGGTGGCTGTAAATCGCATCACTAACACGCGCCCTAGGCCAACGCGATTGGTGTCAAGAAAGACGAGCTTCACTTCCTCTATGAGCTCCACCCTCACTTCGCCGCCTTTCCCACTTTTCCCATCAACCTCGCCTTCAAGCAGACAGACCAGGATGTTTTCGACTTCATCGCTCGGACAACGTCGGGCCAGGTTCCAGGCGTTCCGCCTTTCGACGCTCAGCGTTCTGTAGACGGCGAGAGAGGCATCGAGATCATCCGTCCAATTCCAGTGTCCTCGGCAGGCTTGGACTTGGAGGTCCGGAATAAGGTGATTGGAGTGTATGACAAGGGTGAGTGAGCACGGCAAGACATATGGTAGGGAACAGCAATGCTAAATATGATGTGCAGGTGGCGCCATGATCTTGGAAGCAGAGCAGCTGCTTGTCGACAAAAACACAGAAACCGTTTACACGAAAATGACCTCCACTGCATTCGGCATCGGACAGGGAGGCTACGGCGGGCCCCGCGGACCGGCAAAACAGGCCGTTACGCCGCCAGACCGCCGGCCGGACGCCGTGCACACGATCAAGACAACCCCGGAAGCCGCCCTCCTCTATCGCCTCTGCGGCGATTACAACCCGATGCACGCCGACGAGGCGTTCGGTCAGCGTGCTGGGTTCAAGGGCTCCATCCTCCATGGCCTCGGCACGTGGAACATGGCCGCCCACGGTCTGCTGCAGAAGCTAGGTGACAGCGATCCCAACCGCTTCAAAGCTTATGGCGCAAGGTTCAAGAGCGTTGTTTATCCCGGGGACACGCTGGAGACTCGCATGTGGGTGGTCAAGACCGAAGGAGGGATGGACGATGTCGTATTTGAGACGATCGTTAAGGAGGACGGCAGAGTTGCGCTGTACGTGTTGCCATTTTGCGCGGTCGAGTTATATCGGCGGCGTGATAAGACTGAGTGGCTGACAGTTATTCCAGATCGAACGGATATGCCAAGATTGCAAATGCGAAAGTGAAGCTGTGATGCGTCCGCCGAGAGTCCGGAAATCCGGATGGACCGGGATGTGTTGGCAGACAGCACAGCATAGACAAATTGTAATCAACATCTGATGCAGAGTTCGCGCCAAGTCTCATCTTCGTCCAAACGTGGACTAAATTGCGAAGTTTGATCTGCCCGCGTCACACGACAAATGCCACCGTGAAAAGAATCTCCCGAGTCAGAAAGTGACCAAGGACTCCTTTTGCTTGAGTCGATGAACGGTGATAAGGCCAACGGCTCATACACGTGCGGGACACCGTGGGCCCCATGAGCCGGTAAGCACAGCCCCCCATAAACGCGAACGTTTTGTTTCCAATAGTGGCTTCGTGACATGCGCCAAGGTCAAATGGATCCATGAGACATGGAGCAAAAATGCGAAAAAGAAAATGCACCTGGGAGTGAAGGTGACATTTCTTCTGAAAGGCAAAAGGTTGCGCCGAGGGGGAATCGAACCCCCGGCTCCCCGACGCTGCTGGATGGCAACGGAGAATTTTACCACTAAACCATCGGCGCTGTTTATTGGATGATGAGACGTCGAAGTTGCTCTTGTATGAAGTCTAGGCCTGTGGTCTATCCAGTGAAGCCGCCCACAGTTGCGCATTCACAGGTGCGATGGATACCATTTTGGGTCTCTCTTTTCGCGATAGGCCGCAAGCCCTTCCGACGCATTCTTACTTCTGAGCATCGCCTCCGCCCAAAGTTCCTGTCCGCGCATGGTTGCTCTACTAACGCCAGTCTCCCAAGCTTCCCTGGCTGCCAACCTCGAGATGATGACGCTGTCGGGACTCAATGCCGCAATCTCGTCGGCGTAGTCCAATGTTCTCTCAAGCAGCTTTTCTTGCGGCACGATCTCTTTAACCAGTCCCCATTCCCGAGCTTCTTCCACCGACATTGTGCGGCCCGTGAGGATCAGGTCCATCGTGCGATGGTTGCCAAAAAGCATCATGCATCGGGGCAACGCTCCTGCGAGAGCTGATACGCCGCGGAGGACTTCAGGGAGTCGAAATGTTGCGTTTGGCGAGGCGAAGATGACATCCGCGTTGAGTATCGCTTCGAAACCGCCGCCTATTGAAGTCTTGAATCAGTGGCTGCACACTTCAGGACAATTGCTCGAACATACCGTGAGCATGCCCATTGCATGCGACAATGATGGGTTTTCGCCCAGTCCGATTGCTCATGCCGGCAAACTGCCCTTGCGGATATTCAAACGCTACATCGTTCGTCTTGATAATGTCGAGTCTTTGCTTCAAGTCCATTCCCGCGCAAAAGGCTTTATTCCCGGCGCCTGTAAACACGGCGCATCGCAGCTCCGGCTCAGCATCGTACCATTTCCATAGTGCGCCGAGCTCGATCGTTGCCTCCACGGGCAGGCAGTTCATATGATCCGGCCGATTGATCGTGACTAGAAGGATGTGTTTTCGGGGGAAAGATATCAAGCTATGTTCGACATGAGGATATGGGTTTTCAATCCACGAAGGGACGGGATTCTTCGTTCTTGGCGTCGACATTGTCGTTGTTCGGGGTCTTCGGCTTTGCTAGTCGTCTTCAGACTTGGTGTTTACTCTCGCTTCATCAGCGCCAGTTTTCCTGGACAATATTGGTGCAGCTAGTGCGCTTGAGATGCTCAATCAGCTCGGCCAAGATCCAATCTACCTCCCAATCATCCAACCGACAGCCGGGACCGTGGCACGAAGCCATTCCGAGGCGCGCGTCACAACACAACCGAGCACCCCAGCTCCAGCTGCGCAACCGCGGAGACGGACGAGCACTTCCGCAAAGCCAACACAGCCCCCAACTCTCTCTAACAGCCGTTCCCCTCGCAGGCATCCCACGCCAGAGAGTGAATCATTAGCGCCCCTGCAGGAGGGATCATCCCCCACGTCGCGCATCACTGCGGGGGAACCCACGCTTCCCGTCCTCCCTCCGTTCCCCGCTGTAAAGGCGCCGGAAACGTGTTTCCCGTCCGTTGCGATTGGGTAGCGGGCCATATGTACCAGCGAGTCATTGCCCCCTTTACCGCAGCGTGAACATGGAGCAACCGCCGTATTGGACTTTCCCAGTGTTCTTAGCATCGGAGATATGTGCCATGCGAGCCTTACACCGAGCCGCCGAGGCAGGCTGCGGGAGGCTGTCGAGTGGGGGGACTGTCCGAGAGCTTCGACATTCTTTCTAGAGTCTTGAAGGGCCGGGATCATCTTGCTTGGTTTAGACTTCCTGGTGGACGGTGGCATGTGGCAGCCGCTGCCATTCATCACCGTCTGTGCCATTGACTCTGGCCCCCGCGATAGCTTCTCTGTCTTGCGACGATAGACTCGACATAATCTACCATACTCGCCAGCGACGCCCGGTTTGATACCAGTCACTATGGCAGAATCACCAACAGAAACGCCGCCGCCGGCGACTCCAACTTTCCTCAGGCTATCTTACCCTGCGCCTCGGGTCCTCCTCGTCCGCATGGACAGACCCAAAGACCTCAATGCCATGTCCACAGCCGCGCAGTGGGAGATGGACTCGGTATGGAAGTGGTTCGACCAAGAGCCGAAACTCAGCGTCGCCATCATCACAGGCACGGGAAGAGCGTTCTCCGCAGGGGCAGATCTCAAAGAGTGGAACAACAGCATGGCTGACGACGCCGACCCAAGCAAACGGATGGGAAACGCGCCCGCATTCAAGCCCTTATCTCGAAGGCTGGGCAAGAAGCCAGTCATAGCAGCGGTCAATGGTCTTGCAATGGGTGGCGGATGCGAATTCGTCGTCAACTGCGACCTCGTCGTCGCCGCAGACGACGCCTACTTCGGCCTACCAGAAGTCAAGCGCGGCATCGCGGCAATAGGCGGCGCCTTGCCACGACTCATCCGCACGATCGGTCTCCAGCGAGCCAGCGAGTTCGCCCTGACGGGGCGCAATGTATCAGCGCAAGAGATGGAACAATGGGGAATTGTGAACAAGGTGGTGCCCAAGGACAAGGTCGTCGAGGAAGCGGTGCGTTATGCGCAGATGATCGCCGTCAACTCCCCGGACGCCATCATCTGCACCAGGGCTGGGCTGAGACAAGGCTGGGAGACGGCGGCAGTCGAGAGAGCGGTCGAATGGACACTCGAGAAGGAATTCGCGGACCTGCAAAAGGGGGAGAACATCCTCGAGGGCCTCAAGGCATTCTCTGAGAAACGGGAACCCCGGTGGAAGGGCAGCAAGCTGTGACGAGCCTCATGCGAATGGGGTTGTTCAAGGGGGGGAAATAAGATCCCGTGTTGAAAAAGCCACCTGCGTCCCCGTGCCGGATGAACTAGTTCTGTGTGTTCTACATGCTTCAATGCTTCTCATCCTGCCGGTTGATGTTTGGCCTGAATAGACCCTTCGTCCGAAACCAGTCGAGGGAGGAAGAAGCCAGGTTCAACCTACTTTTGGCTATAAGAGATCGTCTTCAGGACCCGGCTTGCCAGGTCCCGGGAAGTTGGGTTGGCAGACGCACGTCGATGTCACTAGATGCAGGCAGAGACCAGGTGATGGGATCTTGATGTCCATAGTCCGTCACGAGCTAAACAGCCTGTTCTGCAACCAATGCCAGTTTCAACTACCGTAGAACGCCTCAATCGTACAAAGGAGCATCCCACATCGCCATTTTTGAGTCAGCGTAAGCTAATGAATCAGCGCCCGTCACATCCAGAATGCGACACCCGGACATTGGGCCAACACGTTGGGCGCTCGGCTCGTGCGGTGGTCTTCCCCGCAGAATGGCGCAGGGAGAGGCCCCGCCCCGCGAGCAGGACTCCATGAAGGAGTTTCGAAGAGGTTCGAGTTTTCCGGGGGACACCTGGCGTGCGTATGCCGTGTGAGCGTGTAAGACGGTGAAGCCCGGACGGCGGCAGAAAAGATCGAGTGAAGGGAGTGGCAGCCACAGACGGGACGGGGCAAACCAAGACTTGCGTGTCTGGTGGTGTCTTGCTTTCTTGAGGGGTTCATCTCACCCTTATTCCGTCAATCAATCCTCAACGCTTGCCACATATCCAGCACCGGTGGTTTTCGTCAATGGAAGGAAACACAAGGGCTGTATAAGACTTCGAGCACGGCCTCGAGGCGCATACTCCATCTACATCATCTAGCACCTGTTCGGCGTTCGTTCTCAAGTCCATCGAAATCCGGTACTGCAACTGCGAGCTGGCTCCCGCATAACGACATCCCGATATCCCATCATGGATATCTCCAAGAACGAGTCCGTTCGCGAGTTCGAACGGATGGACACCTTGGAGAAGTACATCGAGAATGACAGAGACGATTCCGATTCGATTCGATCCGAAGCTCTCGGGGATGATCTGCCTCCCGGTTACTTCTGGTCCCCTCGGTTCCTGGGTGCAATGGCGGTTGGTCAAACGTGTTGTTGGAAGAGGGGCTCAGCGGTCGCTGACATCACAATAGGGTTTCTGTCTCTCTGCACTATCGGCATACATCTTCTTGATCCTGCCGACCAACGTCTTGACATTTATCAACGCCGATATTGGTGAGAACATCATCTGGTTGTTCATTTTGCGACATTATACTTATCGATTCAGGCCCGAGTCCATACATCTCTTGGGTCAACATTGCCCGAACGCTCTCCCTCTCCTTCACTTACACCATTCTTGGCCGCCTGTCCGATCTCTTCGGTCGACGATGGTTCTTCATCGGTGGCAATTGCGTCGCTATTGTAGGCATCATTGTTTGCGCCGTCGCGCAAAATGTCAACACCCTCATCGTCGGCGCAGCGATCTACGGGTTGGGAGAGACGGTGCAGCTGAGTTTTAACGTTGCGGTTGGCGAACTGGTTCCCAACAAGTATCGACCCATGGTTCTTTCCTGCATCTTCGCAACGAATGCGCCCATCGCCACCTTTGGCCCCATCATCGGTAAGTCTAGCATTTGAACAACTGCAACATCATGTCTAATTCAGCGGCAGCTCGCAAGTTCGTCGAGAACCCCAAGCTGAGTTGGAGATGGTGTTTCTACATCAACATCATCGCCGTTGGCCTTGCCATCGTCCTCCTGTACCTGTTTTACCACCCGCCAACATTTGAACTCCTTCACGACCGAAAGACCAAGAGACAGCTGCTTAAAGAGCTTGATTGTAAGTCCATCACGTTGCACTCTGTCTGACCCGCCGCTCACCCCTGACGAAGATCTCGGAATTTTCTTGTGGACCGCCGGCTTGACCCTCCTCTTGATGGGTGTCTCTTGGGGTGGAGTCATGTTCCCCTGGGACTCCGCAGCAACCATCTCGAGCTTGGTTATCGGCGTCGGCCTGCTTGTTGCGCTCTTCTACTGGGAAGCATTCGCGAACCTCACATATCCTGCCATTCCCGTCAAGTTCTTTGCCAACCGTGGCTTCATGGCTCTCGTCTGCTGCGCAACGGTTGCCAGTATGTTCTACTACTCGGCCGTTCTCCTCTGGCCCCAGCAGGTTCAGGCCTTGTACACGACGGATATCAACTATGGTGGCTGGCTCTCTTCTACAGTAGCGAGCTCGACTGCACTTGGCCAGGTATGTGCCGGTGCAATCGTCAAGTGGGGAGGAAACGTCCGATACTGGATCATCTTCTCGACCTTCGCCATGGTTGGCTTCGTCGGCGCTCTCGCCTCTTTGACTCCTGAGACATTGAATACGGGTATCGCTCTCACGATTTTGGGCCCTTTCTTCGTCGGTTTCATCGAGCTCGCGTCACTCGCTTTGGCGCCCCTTTTCTGCAAGCCCGCAGACATCGGTCTGGCCTCGGGTCTGCTGGCATCCATCCGTTCCGCGGGAGGTTCTATCGCCGTTGCTGTTTACACCTCGATCTTGTCCAACCGCCTCGCCACCACCATCCCCGCGGCAATCACCCAGCCAGCTACTGCTGCAGGATTCCCCGCCAGCCAGATTCCTGCGCTCGCAAAGGCAATCCAAGGCAACAAGTTGAAGACCTTCCCAGGCTTGAGCACCGCTGTCAAGGAAGCCGTCTCGAAGGTCCTGCCCACTGCCTACTCCAAGGCATTTGAGACCGTCTATCTCGCTAGTTTGGGTTTCGGAGCTATCGCCATTGTCGGCTGCTTGTTCTCGATGGATGCCCAGAAGCACCTGACCAACAAGGTCGAGCGTCGCATGAGGTGATGAGAATAGTACTTTGGCTTCGCGGGAAGCCAAGGGGAGAGGGATTATTGTAGCGAATCAACAATCGCTGAAGGTGTGTGGGAACAAGTGTCGCTTTGATAGCAGACTTTTGGAGTATTTCGATCATATGATAGCAAGCAGCCAGCGAGTTGTTTAGTCCCTGTTTATTCTCTGGAGCACATCAATCAAACTGGCCCGAATGCCACTTCAGAAACCCACGAGACTGAGAGCTTTCTCACTGTTCACGAACCAAAATCGTGGCGTAAATAGTGACATCCTTCCTACTGTGCGAGTGGCTGACCCCGCAGCAAACCCTGGCCCGGATGTCTTGTTTCTCTGGGGTACCCCAACACGACTTGCGCATCGTTTCCACCTCGTTCGGGAAGACACATCCTCTTCCCTTGTCAATTAGACCTCTTATCACCAATTTCGAAGAACGATTATGCCTCGACGACCATCTATGTCGGCCTCCGTTCAGTCGGCCACGTCTCCCTCCTCGGTGGGCTCGTCGACGGTCCAGGAAAGTTCTGGGATGACACAGCAGGATATCGAACTGCAGAAGAAGCGGGCCAGAGACAGGAAATCTCAGCAAGCCATGCGTGATCGCAACAAGTGGACGATACAGAACTTAAACGACCAAATCGCCTACTTAGATTCTGCAATGGAAGAGAGGAGCCAAGATGTCGCCGTGCTTCAAACACGAATTGGGGTTCTCGAGAGTGAGAACGCACAGCTCAAAGCACAGAATGCTGCACTGCAGCTGAGCCTGTTGGGACGAAATGAGAACTCTGGGCCCGGCGATGACTCCTTCATCTTTGAAAGACGGCTTTCTGATAGTCCATGGGAGCTACCCTCCCGGAATACTGCGCCGGGTTGCATTGCGGACCAAGTCTTGCAGGGCTTCGTGGATTCTGTTCGATCTGACGGCATTCTCACATCGACATCCTCCTATACCCTCAAGCCCAAGGTTTCCTCACTGGTGCAACAACAAGGAAGATCAGAAGATAATATCAGCAACGTCGTCGCGGACGTCGTACGGACGTATCCCGAGATAGAGACCCTCCCGAAACAAGTAGCCGTATTCCAGAACATGGCACTATTGTTAAAGGTATGCGCAATCTATGTCTAATGATTCGTTGTGAGTACAGGCTGATTCATTGCCATAGTGGATGGTCCTCCTCGACAAGCAAAGTTGGGATCTGATGCCATCCTGGTTAAGGCCAGTGCCTGCACAGCTCACCACAGCTCATGCCGCATGGATTGATAGAATTCCTTGGTGAGCGCTCTCTGTAACAGCGAGGTCGTTTGACCCAGTCTTGATGCTAATAATACCAGGCCTCGAGTTCGGGAGTATCTCATCGCGAATCCCGACATCACCCTCGACGACTGGGCAGCCACCTACAGCTCGAGCTTTGATGTAAGCTGGACCTATGAGCCTTCATTGGTTCTTATTACTGTGGCTACGGATGGCCCCGGGATGTCTGAAATAACTATCAACCCGGTCTACGAAGAACATCTACGGCAGCTGAAAAACTGGACGGTGGGCAACCTGTTTCGCCAACGATTTCCCGAAATCGCAGACCTCATAGATCGGGACACCCTGGAAAGCGGAGTCTGTGGTGAATTCAATACTTCATGATATTGCTAGACTGTTTGGTGCCATTCAGCCTCATGACGAACTGAAAATTTGATCCGAGTGAAGACCAGTCAGTCGCCTGTTCTCTCCCACTGAATCACCAAACTCTTCCTAGGAGCTGCCCGTTTACTGCCCCAACTTAGCAAAATCTGGGGTGCGGCGAAGTAGCACAGGTGGGTTCGCGGAGTTCGATAACCGGGCTGCTAGATATCGGAGTTGCAGATTGCGGGGAAACGTGCCCGAGAAGTGCGCCAGCACCTTTTAAGCTTCTTGGTTTGATGGGGACCCCAAACAGGCGACTCATTTCCACTTGAAGCGTGGGGCCACAAAATCACAACCGGCTACGAAGATTCGGGCAAAAGTTGACAAAGCTCGTCATGTTGAGTCGCCAGCCACAGACCTTGATGACTTCGATAAGACAGCTAGTTCGTAGGTGCCCATCCCACCGTGTTACACGCATCATCATCCGGGTAATAGGAGACTTTGTGCAAAGATTCTATGTCATAAAAGACGTTTGACTTTTCTTTCAGTAGCTAAAGGCTTTTGTATATACACCTTATTCAAGGGGTGGTGGCATCTTCGAGGAGGAGGTGGTACATGAGCTCCCTCGGTGTACAATCCTTGTCCCAAGGATTGTCCCAAGGCGTCGGGTCTATAACTCCCAGCGCTGAAAACATCTCTCTCACGTCACGTAGGGTCTGCCCCATGTCACACCCAATTTCGCCTCCTTCCCAAGACTCACTGTCTACTAAACGACAACTGTTTTCGTGATCCCCGTCGCATTCCCATTCAGTAAAGCTTATAGTTCTGAGGTCAGGAAACTTGCCACCCTCAACTTCTTTAGCAAACCAGACGAACTCTTCTCTGTAGCCATCGATGTAGCCACTGATTTTCAAGTGTTTCAGCGACGGTTGAAATTCTCGCAGCAAACAGTCGCTGCCAAAGCCTAATTCATCCGCAGTTATCTTCAGTGACTCTAGACTGGGGAGTTTAGTGAAGGAACGAAGGCGCATTGCCGTGTCTCCCCACCCGCCTATATCAAGCTTGAGAACTTTGAGACTCTCGCCGTGAAATGTCAGAGCCGGAAGAATATCTTCCAAGTCGTCGTAATCAGTAAGCGCCCACAAGTCAAATTCTTCCAAACGCCCACAAGATTTGATCCACCTGGGAGTGTCTTCGACAGGGATGACGCCTCTTCTTGCCAATTTGAGCTTTACGATGCCGTTCCAATCCATGCCCTCAAACTTCCCACAAGTGTTGATTCCATAAAAGCTTTTGATGAAGGAGCGAGTTTCATGAGAGGGAAGATTTGATCGAGTAGAACAGGCCATGTGCCAGTCTGACTGGCAACGAAACGTAAATCCGTCAAATTTCGCAAGCGTGTGGAAGTCTCCTCCGGAAATGGCAAGGCTTTGAAGAAATATTCCGACTTTTTGTCCGCCGTGATAGATAGTTGTCGAACATTCCGCGCCTGGAGGAATGCGATACCCGCCAGTATGGATAAGTTCTCTGTCAAGGTATGCCAGTTTTCTGGCAAATCGAGGTTCAAGCTTTTGACGATGATCTGAAGTTCGGCAACATCTTCGCTTTTGATTTTCTCCTTCTTTCGGTTGATTCGCTCCCAGTCGACATTAAGGTCAAGCACATATGCGGCGATTTCAGTGCGCAAGTGCCAGTATTTCACAAGCGCTGGGAGACTTGAAGGCTGTGATCCTTTCAAAGACACATGACTCCAGATCCTAGGCTCGCACAGGACGCGGAATGTACGACACGCGCACGAGACTGGCCTCAAACTACCTCGTCTTTTCAAGAAGAGGTCGAGTTAGCAGATGGCATCAGAGTGTATTATGGATGATGACGATGGCACGAACACTTCAGAGATGATTTGGTCTAAAATCTCGCAGGGGAGCTCTAAGACGTGGAGTACTGCCATGAGAAATGCGAAAGAGCGCTGGCGCTGCAGATTGATTGGTCATGGGTGGGCGGGTGAGTGTGAGGAGGGCATTCTTGACCTGGATTGCGTCGTCAAGGTAAGAAAAATTGGCAAAATTCAAGCCCACCGCTTTGGTAGGAGTACGCCTTAGTATGTTTAGTCAGCAACTCAAAGGAACGTGACATGTCTCGTGAGGTCTTTTGATTGGGCAATATCGGCTTCCAACTACCACGCCATGTAACTCGGATTACTTGCCTTCGGCGGTAACCTGCAAGAACGGAAGTCAAAAGAAGGGGAGAAAAGATTGAGGTTTGATTGAGCGTAATCGTGTGATATACTCTGAAGAACATGTCCACTAATCATCTCTGTCAGGAATCGGGAGAAGAACGGCTGCAGCTAAGCGCCTTGCATACGTACAAGGGTATGAGGGCGATTTGTGGTGGACCTGACAAACTGTCGCTCCATCATGCGCACCAAACTCGAGGTTTTGGGTGTCGATAGACGAAAACACGATGTTCTTCGCAAGTGCTAAGTGGGAAACAATATTGAATGACATCCGGCTTCATTGGAAACGTAGATGCGGAACTCCGCATCCGTGGTCATCCTTTCATCGGAGCGGGGAACAGGCCGAAACCTACCGGCACACGGAAACATATTACCGGCTTCTGTAGTCGCGGACGAGCCTTTGAGTAAGATCAACTTATACAAAACCGAACTTGAAGGTTATTCGGTTGCCAAATTCACGTAGGTCAATGTCATTCTACAGTCTCTCATCATGACTTTCGCACAGCAATTCTCCAACAAAGTTGTCGCCATCACTGGTGGTGCCTCTGGCATAGGTCTCGCAACAGCCCATCTCCTTGCTGAGCGAGGAGCCAAACTGTCTCTCGCTGACGTCCAGGAAAAAGCTCTTCAACAAGCTCAGTCTGATATAAAGTGCAAGTACCCCGAAAGCGATGTCCTCATTTTTACTGTGGACGTCAGGAACTACGAGCAGGTTGACAAATGGATCACAGAGACTGTGAAGCATTTTGGAAAGCTTGACGGAGCGGCAAACCTGGCCGGAATCATCCCCAACTCAATCGGTCTCAAAGGAATCGACGAGCAAGACTTTGACGAATGGGACCTCATTCTCAGTGTCAACTTGACTGGGGTCATGCATTGTCTCAAGGCTCAGCTGCGTGTCATTGAAAACACAGGAGCAATCGTCAATGCAAGTAGTATTGCTGGCCTTATTGGACGGAACAAAAACGCTTCATACGTAGCCAGTAAGCATGGCGTCATGGGCTTGACGAGGAGTGCTGCAAAAGAAGTTGGGCCGAAGGGCATTAGAGTCAACGGCATCTGCCCGTGAGTCTTACCAACTTCTGTCAAAAATGAAAGAAACTAATAAAGCCAGGGGAAAAATCGATACACCAATGTCGCAGGCATCTAGGGACATGAAGATTGTCGTCGAGCCATCTTTGAAGCGGGTCGGTCAGCCGAGGGAGGCGGCAACTGTGATCGCTTTCTTGCTCAGTGACGAGGCAAGTTACATTTCGGGTGCTGCTATCGGTGTTGATGGTGGATGGAACTGCTGAATGTGTTTATGCCGTCACAAACTCATACCTACCTCATGTAACTTCATCTGAAAGTAATCTACGAAAGCTCTCTTTTGTATATGCTTCACTTGGAAGTTGAGCGCACAGATTTATCTCATACGAACTAACGACACGCTTCTTTCGAAAGTTCTTGTGTCTTTGAGAAAGACTGAAATTAAAACCCACGCGTGCTTGACTTCATTCACAACCTGGCCCTAGTCTGGTGTATCCTCTTCGCAATAGCTGCGAGCTCGCTCCTGACCAACTTGCCTGAGCTATTCTTCGGAAGTGACTCTAGACAATGCAGTCCTCCTCTCAACCTTTTGTAATGGGCCACACGCTCCTCCAAGTAGATTCTTATCTCATCCAACGTTTTTGAATAGTCCACCTTTGCTGTCGAAGATGGCAAGCAGACAAACCCAATTGGAACCTCTTCGCCATCACCGTCCCATGCTATTCCACATACCCCCGCATCCATGACCGATGGGTGAGAAAGTAGTATAGCTTCCAACTCCGCCGGTGCAATTTGATTCCCTTTGTATTTGATCAGTTCTTTTTTCCTTCCAGTCAACCAAAAGTACCCATCTTCATCAACTTTGACAACATCTCCAGTACATAGCCATCCGTCTCTGAAGGCCGAGGCAGTTTCTGTCGGGTTGTTCTTATACTCCATGAAGACAGTCGGCCCTTTAACCAGACACTCGCCTTCGATGCCTATTGGTACGTCATTGAAGTGGTCATCTACCACACGAACGGTTACTCCAGCGGCAGGCTTGCCAACACTAGATCCCTTTTGTCCGTTTCTTGTATGTCTGAGAAGGGTGATCGTGGCCTCGCTCATTCCATAGCCGTTGAGAACATTGGTTTCGGGTCCAAGAAGCCGCTTCAGCCCCTTCACTGTAGTGTCGGATAGTGGGGCACCAGAGCACATGACTGTATGTACCGAGGACAGATCTAGGTCTGTTATGAATGTGTCCTTCACCATTCGTACTGCTGCTGCCGGAACCAGTCTCAATACCGTCGCCTTCAGTTCGGAGCACCTTCGGAGGTACGGCAGGTACTCAAATTTCCTCATTGGCTGGACATGATTTCCTACCCAAGCCGGCAATAAAACTCCAGACACAATGCCGTATATGTGCGCGAAGGACGGAAAGAAGGCTTCTCTCATGTATGCATTGTGCGTGAAAGGATTCGTGGCCCAGAGTGTGAGGAGATATGCGATAAGATTTTGGTGAGAGAAGACAACACCCTTTGGCTTGCCCGACGTCCCAGAACTGAAGCACATTCCTGCAGGGATCTTCCGATTGTCTCGCCTGGAAAGATCGAAAGGTTGTATGGGGCTTTCTTTTGAAGACCTGAAGTCCAAGGGAAACTGTTACCGTAAGTAATCTTGCCAGGCATCTTGTCGTGGCAGGGCACTTCATACCCTAGGGTAGTCATCTTGCTTTCGAGCATTGCTCTCATCACCAATAACGAGCAGTCTTGGAGTTGTCCTCAACTTCAGTTTCTTCAAGGCCTCTAGGGCCTTGGGCAACAGCTCGCCGTCGACTGCGATTATGCTCGGTTGAGCCACAGTAAAGTAGTGAGTCAGCTCATGTGCAGTTGCCAGGGAGTTGATGCCACTGAAATTTCATCAGAGCTGAAGTTCGAACTGCTTCCAACCACGACATATACTCACCAGAAACACCCACCAGCCCACAGGATTGCGTGAGCCAGAACTACCCACGAAATAGAGTTCGGGGCGAAGATGCAGACCACATCTCCTGCTTGAAGCCCATACCGTGATTTGAGAGTGGAGGCATCTCGTGCTGCATTAAAACGAAGCTCTTGAATCGTCAGAGTCTGCTGTTGATTATCGAAATCGCTCAAAATTTTCTGGTTTGGGGGCACGTCATCTGGGTTGCTGCTGAGGAGGAACTGCGAAATTGAAACATCCGACGGAACAGAAGGTGTTGGGCAAGGTGAGTGGTACATTGCGGTCCAGATGCAACTTTGAGCCCGACTAACATCTACGGAAAAGAATAAGAAGTGTCAATATCTCAAGGACATCAGTTTGTTCTGTCAAGATGAGAGTTAACCTCAATTCAGGTATGCGCTGATGAGTTTAATGAATCATTGGTGCGACAACATGCGCTATGAGAACGATTTGCCGTGTCATCTTCGCAGCGCCTCAGCGAACACCGTAGCTGTAGCTTTAGCGGACACGGTGTAGCCCTCTTGAAACCAACCTACGGTTCTAGTTTTCCGGCCTTTGTCGTTTGATTGGCATGCAACTTTAATGGAAAATCCCGAAGCGTATCCTGGCTGTGCAAACACGTATTGATGACCATGATTTCTCTTGCATAGTTGTTTAGACTTGAATGCAAATGCGTGGGTATTCTTGCTCCTGATTGCATGCGTTTATGTCCTTTCGGTCGGGGGGATCAGTTTCGATTCGGGGAGGACCAAGATACCTAGTACATGGCAGAGATATTTTCAACCAAGACTTATAGTATCGAGAAGCGCACATTTGACGTGTGTTGAACTTAGGTAAAATGTACTTATCAACTATCTCTTTGGTACGCATTGCCTTCCTTCATGGGATCAATGTAATTGGAGTCGATCGCTTGAGCGACGATGAGTGAGCATCGACATCGGGTGCACCGTTTCAGGGCCAGAAAGATGAGTAAAACGACTTCTCTCAAACCACACCTTCTGTACAAGAGCAGCCGCTTTTAACTCATCGCAGGTTGAACAGAAAAAGATGTTACGTATTTTGATTGGAGACTGATAGCGACTTTTCGAACTCTTGGCAACTTTGCGGAACTCTTACCCATGTCAGAACACGCTGCTGGAATCCAAAAACCACCCATCGTCCCGGGAAACATCTTGTCTAGCGCGATGCCGAGCTCTAAAAAGATCATCCAGCTGCAGCCCGCCTTGGTCAAATAGCCTTCGTCGCAACGTTCACCGTTTTCCAAGCCTCCCGATGTTACATTCGGTTTCTCACGGGCAGCACCTTTGCTTATCTGGAAAAAGCTTGGCTTTCTTGGCTTAACTAGCAAAAGTCTTGTCTCCTTCCAATTCCATCTTTAGTCACTAATATTGGTCTCGCCCGAACGCGGGGTAGTAGTCCAGCCATGCGTGAAAAATCAGCACGAAGGGCAATTAGAAGCTTGGTGCCTGGATGATCGGGTGGCTTTTTCAGCCTGGTCCCGGGGTCCAGCATACGCCGGGACTCGCCAAGAGGCTTGTTTCCTGCCTTTCTGGGATTTGACGGGGACGTCGGAGGGTTGATAGATTTCAGTGATGTCACGTAAGAGAATGGCGTACAGATAAATACAATGGTTATGTCGCATTCATAGATCTCGCTGCTCGGTAGGACGCAGCCCTGACAACGTGCGACTCACTTGCGTTGAGTTCTGAAGAAGCCAAGAAGTG